TATGGACCGATCCATAAAATTTTTCCTCTGAAAGAATTCTATTGACATAAGATTTTAATTTGTAAAATTTTGTGAAGATATCGACATTGTGGCGGAAGTTATTAACAAAAAACCCATTCTCCGGGAATATGTACTTTTGTATGGGAGGTATATGAAATTGTGGACCGATTCTGGCAATTTTCAGCAGGGATCAAGATCTTGTGCAGAAACTAATGTATGGTGATTTCCATGGAATTATCTTGCATAGTTTTCGAGAAAACTACATCAGAATGTGTAAAAAATGCTTATTTTTTTCCTAGGTTGTTTTAAATTTTGATTAATAACTTTTCCCGGTGTGAACCGATTTTTCCCATTTGCAACACCAAACAACTTAGGAAAATGAAGAACATTTTGGGTGAATTTGGTTAAGCTCTATTGCTTCGTTTTATCGTGAGCGTGTTTTACACAGACAGACGGACATAGCTAAATCGACTCAGAATTTGATAAGGACCCAGAATATATATACTTTGTTGGGTCTCAGATGAATATTTCTTGGTGTTACACACGGAATGACAAAGTTATATATACCCTCTATCACCACTGATGGTGGTGGAGGGTATAAAAACTGAACTATAATTGAACTAGAACTGAACTGAAGTAGAATTTAAACAATTTTTATCGATATTTTATATTTAGCCAAATTGTTTCTAGGATGTTCAGTGGTTTCTCAAAAATAGTATTTCTTTCTGTATTTCCACTTTTAATATTTGTAGGTTTTTTTAATGTTTATTTCGATTATGAAAAAAATTATTAAAATAGAGCAATGTTGTTCTGTAAAATTTTTAAATTAACATTAGTTCTGATACATTTTTTCTAATGCTTATTTTTGGCAAATAAATCATAAATAACAAAAAGAAAAAATGTTTGCTAGTATCACATATAAACATACTTCGACATATACAGAAACCCTTTTTTTACTCGTAACCACACAGGATGTAGGATAATGGGTCATTTAAAAAATTTTAGTTACAGTGTTGCCACGTTATAAAAACAATTTAAAAATTTAGTTTCTAATTAAGATTACAATTTAAAATATATTTTATAGGTAAGAGTTGCTGGAATTTTGCTAATTGATAAGCTGCTACTCTAATATTTTAACTTATTGACACTTCTAAGTAATTTCAAATTTTTGGAAAAGGCACATTAATTTCACCAAGAACATAAAAAAACAAGTAAGTGAATTTTGTTATTGTTACAAATTAAAATTTAATTCAGTCACTAGTACTTAACAAATCTCAATTTAATAGTTTACTTAAATCTGAATTAATCTGGCAAGGTCTGAATGAATTTAAAATTTTATTCATACAGACAAACTTTCAATCTCATTGTAAGTATTATTTTACTTACCAGTTCGTACTACTTATACTACATACTTTCACTTTCACAATTTGTTAAGAAGGAGATGCAAGTTGATGGGTGGGAAAAACAGTTTGTGTGTTGACTTGAAAATACATACCGTCATACTGAATGGTTGTCTACTGAATGGTCCATAAATGATGAAAAGAAAAACGATATTTGCATTTTACATACAAATACATATTTGACATACATTAACATACATACAAATAAGTAATTCTAAATATGGATGTGAAAGATATAACATATTCAGATCTTATATATAGAATGTAGTAGAAAAGTAGATAATCAGACATATACATGCACTTACATTAATACCTATGTACATTTGTATGTACTACATACATACATAGAAGTTTCAGATGTAGAAATTTTATAACCCGGGTAAACATTTTGAATTCGATAAAGTTTTGTTTTTGAGATTTCAATAGAAACTGAACTAGAAGTCAACTAGAACTGAACTAGAACTGAACTAGAACTAGAACTGAACTAGAACTGAACTAGAACTGAACTAGAACTGAACTAGAACTGAACTAGAACTGAACTAGAACTGAACTAACTGAGAACTGAACTAGAAACTGAACTAGAACTGAACTAGAACTGAACTAGAACTGAACTAGAACTGAACTAGAACTGAACTAGAACTGAACTAGAACTGAACTAGAACTGAACTAGAACTGAACTAGAACTGAACTAGAACTGAACTAGAACTGAACTAGAACTGAACTAGAACTGACTAGAACTGAACTAGAACTGAACTAGAACTGAACTAGAACTGAACTAGAACTGAACTAGAACTGAACTAGAACTGAACTAGAACTGAACTAGAACTGAACTAGAACTAGAACTAGAACTGAACTAGAACTGAACTAGAACTGAACTAGAACTGAACTAGAACTGAACTAGAACTGAACTAGAACTGACTAGAACTGAACTAGAAACTGAACTAGAACTGAACTAGAACTGAACTAGAACTGAACTAGAACTGAACTAGAACTGAACTAGAATTGAACTAGAACTGAACTAGAACTGAACTAGAACTGAACTAGAACTGAACTAGAACTGAACTAGAACTGAACTAGAACTGAACTAGAACTGAACTAGAACTGAACTAGAACTGAACTAGAACTGAACTAGAACTGAACTAGAACTGAACTAGAACTGAACTAGAACTGAACTAGAACTGAACTAGAACTGAACTAGAACTGAAACTAGAACTGAACTAGAACTGAACTAGAACTGAACTAGAACTGAACTAGAACTGAACTAGAACTGAACTAGAACTGAACTAGAACTGAACTAGAACTGAATAGAACTGAACTAGAACTGAACTAGAACTGAACTAGAACTGAACTAGAACTGAACTAGAACTGAACTAGAACTGAACTAGAACTGAACTAGAACTGAACTAGAACTGAACTAGAACTGAACTAGAACTGAACTAGAACTGAACTAGAACTGAACTAGAACTGAACTAGAACTGAACTAGAACTGAACTAGAACTGAACTAGAACTGAACTGAACTAGAACTGAACTAGAACTGAACTAGAACTGAACTAGAACTGAACTAGAACTGAACTAGAACTGAACTAGAACTGAACTAGAACTGAACTAGAACTGAACTAGAACTGAACTAGAACTGAACTAGAACTGAACTAGAACTGAACTAGAACTGAACTAGAACTGAACTAGAACTGAACTAGAACTGAACTAGAACTGAACTAGAAACTGAACTAGAACTGAACTAGAACTGAACTAGAACTGAACTAGAACTGAACTAGAACTGAACTAGAACTGAACTAGAACTGAACTAGAACTGAACTAGAACTGAACTAGAACTGAACTAGAACTGAACTAGAACTGAACTAGAACTGAACTAGAACTGAACTAGAACTGAACTAGAACTGAACTAGAACTGAACTAGAACTGAACTAGAACTGAACTAGAACTGAACTAGAACTGAACTAGAACTGAACTAGAACTGAACTAGAACTGAACTAGAACTGAACTAGAACTGAACTAGAACTGAACTAGAACTGAACTAGAACTGAACTAGAACTGAAACTAGAACTGAACTAGAACTGAACTAGAACTGAACTAGAACTGAACTAGAACTGAACTAGAACTGAACTAGAACTGAACTAGAACTGAACTAGAACTGAACTAGAACTGAACTAGAACTGAACTAGAACTGAACTAGAATAACTAGAACTGAACTAGAACTGAACTAGAACTGAACTAGAACTGAACTAGAACTGAACTAGAACTGAACTAGAACTGAAACTAGAACTGAACTAGAACTGAACTAGAACCGAACTAGAACTGAACTAGAACTGAACTAGAACTGAACTAGAACTGAACTAGAACTGAACTAGAACTGAACTAGAACTGAACTAGAAACTGAACTAGAACTGAAACTAGAACTGAACTAGAACTGAACTAGAACTAAACTAGAACTGAAATAATTCGTGGTGGTATTTTTACAACCACAGGGTGAGTTGTCACCTCAGCCCTGGTGAGTGGCAATTTTCGTACATGGTTTTGTCGGCCATGTACATAGTACAGCACTTTAATCTCTGACCATTGCTGCAAAATCTAAAGTTTACAACCACGCAGATGGTTGTAAACTGTTGATTCGGCAACAGCACCTTGGGAAGTGATCGGTAGACCGAATCATGAATACATCAAGTAAGCCAAAGATCAGTTCTTACTTACAGAGAAAATTCAATTCAAAATGATGTTTCTTTATTTTGAAGATTTTAGTTGACATGAAACTTTTATCCGACTTATTAAGAATAAGTAAATATAACCGTCACATAAAATGCAAAAGGGCGTAACAACATTTTATAAAAATTTTACAAGAGAGACAAAAAACTAAATAATAAGGGTTTTTATGTAATCGTTCAAAAGCCTCGTAAACTGTGCAATCTGTGCATTTTCAATTTTACATTGAATTTGTCACGAATTGCATGGGATTTTACTTCCACAACACTGATACATTAGATCGCCTATTTGAACTGATCATTTGTGCAAATGTGTAAGTTTGTGTTTCATGAATGAGTTTTAAAAGTTTGCGACAGCATGCATTTTGATGAAATGTATCATTTTCAACCAAAAAGTAAATTTTATATTTTTGGGTTGTTACGCCCTTTTGCATTTTAGGTGACTATATACATATGTATATGTATATGAACGTACAAAAGTGCTTGAACATTTGCCTACTTATACACTTATTTGATGGTAAATTTATAAAATTGTTAAACAAAATCTTGTCTATGTTAATAAAAATTTGCTTTTCATGGGAAAATTAAATCTACTACTGAGAATAAAATAAAACTGGCAACAAAATGGTAATAAGAACAATAGGAAAAAAATTGAAAATACTTTCAATTTTTACAATAACAATAATGATGAACTTTAAAAATGATACTAGAAATGCACTTATCTACTAATATGGTAAATGGAAATAATAATGGAAATCTTTAGTTAAAAACTTTAGAAATCAGTGGCTATGATTTAAAAGCATACATGTAGTAGTTGTCTTTTAAAATAAAACATAAATGAAATTCTTTAAGAATCGGTTCATTAGTGGTTGTAAAAGAAAATAAATTTGAACATTTTTATATTTTCCAATTCATATTCAAATATACAATCTACGTTTTCTAAATTTAATTTTTCTTCTGCCAATTTTGTTTCTCCCAGGTCGTCTTATTCTGTTTCTTTGGGTTCTAATGCGCTTGCCACTTCCATTCCTAAAGCTTAATATTTTTAAAATTTGTTGAGTCCGTTTCTTGGAGAGCTTATTGCCTTTGCTTTTACCTTTTTCAACTCCATGTCCAGCTGGTCTTTTTTGTAATACACTGGAAGACTTATGATTTTGTCTAGCTGGTCTTTGTTGTGTTAGTACTCGAGAAGGCTTTTGATTTTGAGGATTGTAGATACTCTCTACTATAACTTCATTATCATCATCGTCGTCATTTCCTTCTAAGTCTGTTTGTTCATCATCTTTTTCACTATTAGGTTCTAGGTTATTCACATTTTTAGCCGTTGATGTTGCCAAAATGCTTATTATAGCTATAAGCAGTACAATACGCATCTGGTAGATATTTTGTTTTGATCAACAAATCTTTAACTGTTGAGACTAATGCGAATTTTAAATTATTTATATATTCTTTGTTTTAAAAAGTTTTAAGTATTTATTTGTATAGTTTTAGTGGATTTTGTTTAACTATTTATTTGTCTCTCTTGTATATTTTTGCTAATATTAATACAAGTGTTGAAGAGGCACATACATATACATATATTTTGTGCAAAATAACTCACGATATTGGGGTATTCAAACAAATATTTTACTGTGGACTAATCGGGAAGAAAATATTTGTTTTAAACCCTATCCCATTGCAGTGGGAAGGATATTATGCGTTTATGCCGATGTTTGTAACACCGAAAAATAATGGTCCTAAACCCATCCTAAAGTAGTTTAGGTTATTGTGGTAGCCGCCTATAGCATAGCTTTCTTAGATCCGATTATAGGTCTCGTTGTGCTACCATATGTGATTGTATAAATTTTTCCCTAATCCTGTTGGTCAACGTTATCTTCATGCCAATTCGTTGCTCTAATAAATGCGTGTATGTTCCCTGAATCGTTCTCTGAGCGACAGGTATTGTCCGTGAGTGTTCAATGACCAAACTCTTTCACTCTTAGTAAGAAGAAGCATGACACGTCACAATGTCGATATCTTCACAAAATTTTACAAATTAAAATCTTATGTCAATAGAATTCATACAGAGAAAACATTTTCTGGATGTCCATAATTGGACATAGCTCCCATACAAGGTCCCCTCCCGAAAATCACTTAAACGCGCATAACTCATTACTAAATTAAGATATCCATATAAAATTTGGTACAAGTATTACTCATATGCACAGAAATATTACGGTGAAATTTTTTTCCGATCGGTCCATAATTGGACATAGCTCCTTTACAAGGTCCCCTCCCGAAAATCACTTAAACGCGCATAACTTATTACTAAATTAAGATATCCATATAAAATTTGGTACAAGTATTACCCATATGCACAGAAATATTACCGTGAAATTTTTTTCCGATCGGTCCATAATTGGTCATAGCTCCCATACAAGGTCCTCTCCCGAAAATCACTTAAACGCACTTAACTCATTACTAATATACAGAAATATTAGTATGAGAGTTTTTTTGCATCGGTCCATAATTGGTCATAGCTCCCATATAAGGTCCCCTCCCCAAAATCACTTAAACGCACATAACTCATTACTTAATTAAGATATCCATATAAAATTTGGTACAAGTACTGCTCACATATACAGAAATATTACTATAAAATGTTTTTGGATCGTTCCATAATTGGTCATAGCTCCCATACAAGGTCCCCTCCCGAAAATCACTTTAACGCGCATAACTCATTACTAAATTAAGAAATCCATATAAAATTTGTCACAAGTATTGCTCATATACAGAGAAATATTACTGTGAAATTGGTTTCGTATCGGTCCATAATTGATGATAGCTCCCATACAAGGTCCCTTTCAGAAAAACACTTAAAGGCACATAACTCATTACAAATAGTGATACCCATAAAATATTTGGCTTAAATACTATTTTTGTACACAGAAATGTTATTTCAAAATTTTTTCACGATTGGTCTATCCTTGGTCATAGCTCCCATACAAGGTTCCCTCCCGAAAATCACTTAAACGCACATAACTCATTACCAAATATTGATATCCATACATTTAGCACAAATATTGCTCTTATATACATAAATTACACTATAAAATTGTTTTACGTTCGGCCCATATTTGGTCATAGTTCTCATACTAGGTCCCCTCCAGAAAATCACTTAAATGCTCAATATTCATTACCAAATAATGATATAGATACAGAATTTTGAAATTTTGTCTTTATATACATAATTGGTCATAGCTCCCATACAAGGTTCTTTTACGAAAATCTGTTAAACGCACATTACCCATTACCAAGTCTAGCTATTGATACAAAATTTGGCACAAATATTAGTTTTGTATACAAAAATTTTATTTCAAGATTTTTTCATGATCGGTTCATAACATTGGTGCGGTCGGTCCCATACAAGGTTCCCTTCAGAAAATCACTTAAACACACATTACTTATTACTGAATTACGATATAGATACAAAATTTTACTGAAATATAGCTTTTATGTACAGAAATTTAGCTTAAAGATTTTTTTACGATCACTCTATAATAGGTCATATCTTCCATACTAGGTCCTGCCCCTAAAAGCGCTTTAACCGTATTTAACTAGTTGCATTATCAATTTGTGTAGAACAAAATAATATATATGTATTTTGAAAATCCTTTAATCTTTCACACACATGCATACATGCAAATTACTAAATATCGCTAAGCGCTATAAAAATATAAAGAAAATGGCGTTTGTAATGTTCAACAAATCTTCGAATTGTAATATATTTAAGCTGTTTAAATCTTGGGATTTTTCTATTTAAGACATGAGTTAACTTATTTGCACAAATATTTGATCAATTAGAAAAGTATTAATATAAAAGTATCTGGTGGAGGGTATTTAAGATTCGACTCAGCCGAATATAGCACTCTAACTTGTTTTAAGTAATCTCGATAACTTATATTTATTTTTTTATGCCAAGAAATATATATTTTATTACGAGTTAAAACCAAGATTGAGTCGACTCAACTCAATTTCTGTCGACAGCAAATTTTTCTCAAATTTGGCGACGGCACAATTGAACTTAAATGCTTTATTATTAAATATAAATCACATTTTATTCTTATAACTGATGTAGGGTATTATATGGTCGGCCACGTCTGAATATAATTTCTTTCTTGTTTCTATTTGTTTTCTATTGATAATTTCTTTAATACTTATGTATTTATTCGGCTTTAATATACATACATATTTATATACCTATGCATTTAAGGATTTCAAATAATTGAAATATTTTTTTATAAATTGTTTTTTAGGTAATCAATACATATAATAAATGTGTGTATGTATACTTTGATAATAAATATGTAGATTTGGTTTTAAAACCTATAAATATTTTTGGTAACATATGGCTTATACTTTTAGTCAAAAAAAGTAAAAAATATGTTGCTGTTATAAAAGGATTAATAGACTTTATTCTAAACTGTGGATAAATTTATAAATGTATCTATATGAATTGTTCTATATGGTTATGTCCAAAAAAAAATCAAAATATATTTAGTAGGGGGGATCGACAAACTACAACTGTCGATGTTGCTAAATGAAATTTAAGTTTTGTTTATGTAGTTGTATAATAGTTCTAAATGGATTTTTTCTTCTCGAGCTCATAGAGCCAGCCTAATATCAATATGATTTTTTATATTCACTGAGAATTCTATAGATATTTGCATGTTTATATGTACTTGATATGTATACTGATATGAATTCATTTATCCATTACGATTGGATGGCTTTTTGAAATTTATATTTTTTATTTAGTATTTTAGCCTAAGCTCTCTACGTACACATTGCGAAAATTCTTAAATAAGAAAGTATTTGGACTTATAATGATGCTATAACAGATTTATAGACTTATATTAAAAATCTATGACCACTACCACATAGTTCTTCAAAACAGTTTTTAAGTGTTAAAGAAAGTCATTAAAAAACTGGTCTCGCTAAAACCAAAGAGACAAGAATATATAATGAAGTTTTTTTAATTGAATACTTTTAAAGTTTTCCAATCGAGCTTTATTTCTCACAGAAATATAAAGCTAAAGATATTACAGAACATCTTAAATTATAACTCGATTTTTAAACTTTATGTCTATCAAGAAATTAAGTGTCATAATTATTCAACAAACTTATTCCACACGAATTACAATCAGGAATTCCAATCTACAGCCCGTTTAAATATTTCTGTCACCATACGAGTCCCCGGAGGGTTTGTAAACTTCGTTAAACACTTCCTAGCAAATATACAGACACTTGATTTCCTATTTCTTTTAGCTTAATGTGTTTGTGGGCCAAAAAATTTATGTTTGAAATACTCATATTCATACATGAATAAATTCATATAAGAAAGAAAGAATGAAAAAAACATCGACATAAACTTTTACAAACTCAAACAATAATATTGACATTTTTATATACGATTGATGGTTGGTTGGTAAATTTTATTTCATTTTATTGTCAACATGTTCATGTTCTACAGATGTACATCTGCAGAAATCTATCTATCTACAGTAACACACATCATCTCTATACATACATATAAACATTCATATTCATTCATACCAAAGATAGACACATTCGTACATAAAATTAATGTATTTTCGTACACATAAATTTTCAATTGAAACATTATTTTTGGAATTTTTTTCTTTTTGAGGTTATTTTGGAAGTGAGCAGTTGAATTGCTACTGATGCTGTTGGAAATATGAAAATTGAAATATGAACCAACACATGAATCAATGTTCCAACAACATAAAGTGCGTACGTTTTTATAGTGTATGGATGGATGGATAGATGAATAGATAGATATTTTCGGAAGGTTGTGTGATAAGTTAAGGAAATTTAAATTTGTTCATTTAACAATTATAGTTATAGCGGATACATAGGTAATTATAGTGTCTGAAGCTATGGCAATCCAAAATAGCCAACAAACTTGAACTGAACTAGAATTGAACTAGAACTGAACTAGGACTGAACTAGAACTGAAATAGAACTGAAATAGAACTGAACTAGAACTGAACTAGAACTGAACTAGAACTGAACTAGAACTGAACTAGAACTGAACTAGAACTGAACTAGAACTGAACTAGAACTGAACTAGAACTGAACTAGAACTGAACTAGAACTGAACTAGAACTGAACTAGAACTGAACTAGAACTGAACTAGAACTGAACTAGAACTGAACTAGAACTGAACTAGAACTGAACTAGAACTGAACTAGAACTGAACTAGAACTGAACTAGAACTGAACTAGAACTGAACTAGAACTGAACTAGAACTGAACTAGAACTGAACTAGAACTGAACTAAACTAAACTAGAAACTAGAACTGAACTAGAACGAACTAGAACTGAACTAGAACTGAACTAGAACTGA